GTCATTTTGACCCATTGAAAAATAATTTCGCGGACGTCAAAATTCACGATTTCTTTAGCTATAACTCATGACTTCTGGTTATTATTGGTTATTTCTATGCATTAGCAAATAATTTCGTTTGCAAAAATTCACAATTTATGAGTTTTAACCCATGAATTTTAGCTATTTTTTTATTATTTCTACACATTAGCAATTAATTTTGTATAATCTAAAATTCATAATTTTATGAGCTATAACACATGATTTCTGGTCATTTTTAGTTATTTTAAGCTATTGGCAAAAAATCTTGAAAAGTCTAACACAATTTCAAAACTATAATCCATGAATTTTTATCATTTTAGTCATTCCGACTCATTGATAAATAATTTCATGGATGCCAAAATTCAAACATTCATTAGCTATAACTCATGATTTGTGGTCATTTTATACTTTTCAACCAATCGGCAAATAATATCGCAGAGGCTAAAGTTCATGTTTTCATGAGTTACGATCTATGATTTATAGCCATTTTTAGTAGTTTCTACACATTAGAAAATAATTTTGCGTTGTCCAAAATTCACGATTTCATGAGCTCTACACATTAGAAAATAATTTTGCGTTATTCAAAATTCATGATTTCATGAACTATAACTCACGATTTGTGATCATTTTACTCATATCCACTCATCGCAAAATAATTTCATAGAGTAAAAAATTCATGCTTTCATGAGCTATAGTCCATGATTTTTAGTCTTATTTTATCATTCCAACCCAATGAAAAATAATTTTGCGTAGTAAAAGGTTTATGACTTCATGAGCAACCCACAATTTCTAAAATAGTTAATTGTTTCTACTCATTAGCAAATAATTTTACAGAGTCCAAAAATGACGATTTCATGAGCATTAACCCATAATTTACGGCTATTTTTGGTTGTTTCGAGTTATTACCAAATAATTTTGTGAGTCATAACTCATGATTTTTAGTCAATTTTAGTCCTTTGTACCCATTAACTAATAGTTTTGCGGAGATTAAACTTCAAGATTTTATTGGCTATATAACTCATGATTTGTGGCCATTTTCATTAGTGTTAACCATTTGACAAACAATTTCACAGAGGCCAAAATTTACAAGTCTATGATTCCTGGTCATCCTTATTCGTTTCGAGCATTTGGCGGATAATTATGTGGAGACCAAAATTTATGATTTTATGAGCTATAACCCATAATTTTTTTGCCATTCTTAGTCGTTTATTTCCATTCACAAAATATTTCACGGAGGCCAAATTTCACAATATCATGAGCTATAAAACCCATAATTTTTGTTTTTTTTATATTCTATTCCATTAGTAAATAATTTCACTGAGACTAAAATCTAAAATTTTATAAGTTATAACCCCATGATTTAGGGTCATTTTTATTAGTTCCGACCCATTAATAAATAGTTTCGCGAAGGCCAAAATTCACAATATTATGAGCTATCACACACGACATCTCGCCATTTTTAGTCATTCCGAGCCACTGAAAATAATTTTGTAGGGCCAAAATTCAAGTTTTCATGAGTTATAACTAACGGTTTTTGGGAATTTTTATTCATTCTGACCAATATTGCAAATAATTTTATGGATGTCAAAATTAACGATTTTATGAGATATGACCCATGATTTCTAGAAATTTTTAATCTTTCGAGTCAATGACAACTAATTTCATAAATGACCAAAATTTACGACTTCATGAGCTATATGACCCATAATTTTTTGTTAGTTTTAGTTATTTCTACCCATTGTCAAACAATTCTATAGAGGCCAAAATTCATGATTTTGTGAGCTATAACTCATGATTTGTAGCCATTTTTTCTTGTTTCTACCTATTAGAAAATAATTCCGCATAGCCCAAAATTTATGATTTTATATGCTACAAATCATAATTTTTTATCATTTTAAGTCGTTCCAACCCCTTGATAAATAACTTTGCAGAGGCTAAAGTTCATTATTTGATGAGCTCTTACCAACGATTTTTGACCATTTTTAATCGTTTCGAGTCATTGACAAATAATTTCACAGAGGCGAAAGTTCAAAATATCATAAACTATAACCTATAATTTTTAGCAATTTGTGGTGATTTATATCCATCAAAAAAATAATTTAATGGAGTCCAAATTTTATTATTTCATTAGCTATAACTCATGAATTTTGACCATTTTTAATTGTTCTGAGCCATTGACAAATAATTTCACGGAGATAAAATTTATGATTTCATGAGCTATAACCAATGATTTTTGGCTTTTTAAAGTCATTCTTATGCATTGGAACATAATTTTTTTGAGGCTAAAATTCACGATTTTAGAAGGTATAGCCCATAATTTCTAACCATTTTTAGTCATTTCGAACTGGCAACTAATTTCGTAGAGGCCAAAATTCACGATTTTATGTGCTACAACCAACGATTTTCAGCTATTTTTAGTTATTTTTGCCCATTGGTAAATAATTTCACTAATGTCAAAATTCAAAATTTCATAGGCTATAGCCCATAATTTCTTGTCATTTTTAGTCATTATGAACCCATGGTAAATAATTTTGCAGAGGTCAAAATTTACGATTTTATGAGTTATAATCAATGACTTATGGCCACTTTTATTCATTCCCACAAATTGACAAATAAATTCATGGAGGTCAAAATTCACGATTTCATAAGCTATAACTCATGACTTGAGGAAAGTTTTAGTTATTCCGAGCCATTGACAAATAATTTTATAGAGGTTAAAATTCATGATTTTATGAGTTTTAACCCACGTTTTTTACCTAGTTTTAATCATCTCTACTCATTGTCAAATAATTCCACGAAGTCGAAAATTTAGGATTTTAAGAGCTATAACTCATGATTTGTGTCCATTTTTAATAGTTTTTACCCATTGAAAAATAATTTTACGAAGTCTAAAATTCACAATTTCATGAGTCATAACTGATAATTCTTTAGCCATTTTCAAGTCATTTCCATCTATTGGCAAATAATTTCGTAAAGGCTAAAGTTTAGGATTTTATGAGCTATAAACCGTGATTTGTGATAAATTTTTTCTTGCTTCTATCCATTAGAAAATAATTTCATAGAATCTAAAATTCATGATTCATTTTTTATCATCCCAAGTCATTGGTAAATAATTTCGCTGAGGCCAAACTCAGGATCTCATAAGCTATAAGCAATGATTTTTAACTATTTTTAATCGTTCCGAGCTATTGGCAAATAATTTTATTAGAGGCCAAAATGCACGATTTTATGAGCTATAAGTCATGATTTTTGGTCTTTAGTTGTTCAAACCTATCTGCATATAATTTCGTGGAAGTCCAAATTCACAATTTTATTAGTTATATAACTCGCGATTTTTTTTGCCAATTTTTATTGATAGTCCATCATGACAATAAATCACCTATCCACACTTAAAACTGCCAAATCAAGCAAAGTAAGCACCATATTAAGTACAAAACTGCTAAGAAGGAAAATCACTCACAAAGAGATGCATCATGATTAAAAAAACGATATATATAGCCAACAAATGTGATGTTCCTGATCTAACCAAACCCAATTCATATCAACAAGGTCCAATACAAAGCTGGCATTATACCTTACTATAATTGACACCTTAGAGGAACTAGGAACAAACTACATCGTAACTGCATGATGTGAAGGAAGATGAAAAGCCTACTTGATAATCAAAAGATTTTAGGTCATTCTCACTCAACCGGACCTAAGAAAGTTATGGCTCTCAGGGGCTACTGCTAGAAGTTCATCAAAGGTTTTGGGCCGATAGGTGCCCTTCTCATTGAATTAACCTAGGGATGGTGCACTCAAGACATCCCCCAAAGCTAAATGTTGTTGACTGGGTAGCTTCCCTTAGAATGAGGCTATAGTCTTCACTAAACAAATTATAATTTAATACAATACTCTGCAATATGGCATAGGATGGTCCTTACACACGAGGGTCTTCTTCCAATTGCTTAGATTAGTAAACAAAGCCAAACAGGGAGATGTATTGGGCTTCTGTCAGTGAGATATCGGTATGAGATATCGGTAATCCTACTGGCAGTCAAGAAGTATCCAACTCACTGATCAAGTGCTCCATATCTTCTTTGTTTTGTGCTCACCAATCAAAATGGAGCTTTCTTGGATAAAGGGCAGTTTATGGTCGATGCCTCTACTCCAAAAGCATCTTCAGCAACAGGGTACAATATTGACAGTCAGGAGCTCCAAAAGCACCATTTGTGCATTACGGATGGAAGGTGGTATGTCATACTTTGCTTGTGTTATCCATCAACACCCAAAATCTTTGTTGAAGGTCCCGCTCCAAGCAATAATAAAATGGTACCTTTGTTGTGTTTGATTGGCTCGCGAAAAGTGCATAATCTTTTTGCTCCTTCTCACTCTCGTCTTGCTATCCGAGTCTTATTGCTGAAAGAATGTGAAAGTTATACGAATGCCAAAACCTGTTGTGCCATCGTGATGTCATTTTTATCAGCAAAACATCACAAGATGCCTTCAAGTTGTGTAGTTATCATTCAATTCGATATACCACAGAGATATGACAAAAGCAAATTTGTTATTGAAGAATGAGGACATATCTTTGATGGTTCGGCAATGCACAGTCCAAAAACTGGTGCGGCACATATCTTTCGATCCACTGATACTTAAATGTTATCACACAATCCTCGTACTCCGATTGAATACATGCTAACCCCAACGCAAATCAGCAGAAGATACAACCAAACATACGAAAACACCATCAAATGCAGATCCCAGTTCGATGCAAACATACAAAAACTACACTATCAATGAACTCAATTCAGATTGGGGAAAAAGAAACCTTGATTTCCTTTTAATTTTAAGAATATAATTCAACAATCATTAAAGAAACTACCGACCCACATCGCGATTTGACATAATAATGCACGACAACAATCCTAGAGAATCCATTACAGTAGAAAATAACGAAAACCAAGAAAAGGGTTCTTTTAAAGGGGGGGGAAATTAACCTGGGTTCCAATTTTTTCCCACTTAATTCGAATCATCGTCGCCCTTCTTGCGCTTGCGGTAGTTCTCCTCGTAGTGCTTGGCCATGGCGATGCCGAAATTAGTCATCTTCTTGATGTTGGGGACGTTGTAGTTTTGGGCGATGTAGACGCCGACGGTTGTTCCCAGGGTAAAGGAGAAGACGCTTCTGAAGAAACCCATCTCTGGATTTGATTGGGAAATTGAAGAAGAATGGGAGAGGGTTTAATATATATATATATATATGTATAGAGAGTGAGAGAGACTTTGGTGACCCCTTTTACAAGAAATTTTAGAGCTCGGAGAGTTAATTCTTCCCCAAGACAAAAGAGTGGACTCGGTATTGGCTTTGGATCGTTGATTCTTCGAAGAATAAACTAATAAGGGTTTTTTTTATTAACCACTTTCATCTTTGATATTTGGAGTCCGTCAATCATTGAAATTGCTATTAGGCCCCCAAGCCTTGTAGCTTGCTGCTGCTGCTATCTTTAGAGGGTTTTAATTTGAAGAGTTCTTTTGTATTAGCCCCTTACATGTTTAGAATTTTGCATTAGTCCCTCAAATTTTCATATTTTGATATTTGTCTTTCAAATTATCATAATACGTTGATATTAGTACCTGCGATTAGTTGACGCTGTAACTTTACACGAATATTATATTTTTAAATGGTTTTTTTCTTAGAAACCACATAAGATAGGGTAATTATATGAAAATCAGCTTCCAATTTCAATTTATACATACAACCTTTAAAGTATGTTTTTGTTACAATGAATCATCTCCCAGACAAATTTTCACTAAAAAGTAAAAAAAATAAGCTTAAAAAAATGCAAGTTCAAGGTACGTGAGCTGTATCCTAACAAGACTAAACACTAAAAAAATGAGTCATATACTTGAATATAAGTTTTTAAGGGTAGTTTTGGTTTTTTAGTGAAAATGCTAACTCTGAGGTTGTTGATTGCAATAAAATCACACTTTACAGGTGATTTATGTAAAAATTAAAAAAAATTAAAGACAGTTTCCCTATAATTACTCTATTTTAAGGTGGTTTTTAGGAAATGCCACTTAAGGTGGTTTCTAGGAAATGCCACTTTCTTTAAGCACAAAAATTAGTAGACATTTTATGACCCTTGATTACCAATTAATAAACCCAAACTGACGATTGTTGAACCATAACACGTTGGGAGCCCCTAATCCATATCTGCTAAACACATTCTCTTTTCTTCCTCTTCCCTTCGGTAAGAAACCTCCTTTCTCAAGGACATAGGGAGGGAGGGAGAGATAGAGGAGTGACGACTGAATGTTAAACTATTGAGGGAATATTGGTAATTAGCTAACAATGGTTAAGATAATTCAACCATGTTTTAGGGGTTTTAACAGTAATCCATACTACATGGAGTAATATCAACATATTATTATAATTTTGGGGGCTAAATATCAAAATATAAAGATTTGAGGAACAAATACAAAATACTAAAAATGCAAGGGACTAAGAATCAAAAAAATCTTAATTGGAAATAATTTATAAGAATTGGGAGACTTAATGACATTCTAAATGAGTTGGGCCAATAATTTTTGAGCAATTTAAAAGAACCGAGGACCTAGTAGCTGTTGCAATGATACCATGGACCGATTCAAAAATATTAAAGGAATTAAATCGGAAACAACCCACTTTTCTCCTCTAAATTACAGAGTTTGAAGCACCAGCTAAATCTGATAGAGACCGGATGACTATTGTTTGTCAATTCATTATATAATTCCTAATCACTTAAGAAGTAGGATTTTTTTCCTTTTTTCTTTTTCCTTTTCTTTTAAAAAAATCCCCCAAGGAATCTTGGTTTTCATGTGAAGGATGGAAATAGTGTTTCTACTATGGATGGAAATAGGTTTTCATGTATGAAGGATTTGTTGGAGATTATAAATTAAGTCCAGTCTCCAGCTAACTTTTATGCATTAGAAGAAGGAGAGAATTAATTCTCAATCTTAGTGCTCTCCTCCTCTGTCATCGATATTTCTTGTTGAGACGAAATTGTTACTGATAAAATTTTTATCGGATGTATATAACTAGCAAGCGATCAAACGACTTTAGACAAAGGTATGAACTTTTCATCGCTGTGTCTTTCATGATTCATACTCTTTTATATCTTAGAACCACAGCATCAATAGTAGTTGAAAAATAACCAAAGGATGAAAAACATAAAAAAAAAAAAATCGAATATCAACTTGAATTTGGTCATCCCGTAATTAAACTGATTTGCTTGGTTTCGATTGGCCTGTAAATTTGAAGCCCAAATCAAAGCCCATCTAGTTAGTGAGTTCTTTGTTGGCTAAATTTCACAAAAAACCTCAATTTGTGGGGCTGCACAGCATCGTGAACCTTTTTACTATCAAACCCACCCTGAACTTTGAGGTGTCTCACAAAACACTTATTAACTTTTAAATATTCCGACGGACCCCTTAACGGCGTTAATGAATTACATCGTGGACCGTTATTTTGATTGTGTACCTCATTGATCCATTAACACCGATAGGGAGTTCCTTTAAATTTCAGAAGTTTAGGGTTTCTCTGAGGCACCGCAAAGTTTCTGGGGGGTATTGTAAAATTTATCCTTCTTTGTCCGGACGCTTGCTAATGGACACGTGTCAGAACCTTAAAAAGGTTATGCGAGTTGAGTTTAGGGTTTTGAACTCGCCTTTTTGAAACTGCTTCCCCTCTTTCAAAGACATCAGAAATCTTATGCAACTTCAAGGTTATGCGAGTAAAACGGTGATTAATTTTTTTTGGGTACTTTATAGTTGTTTTGTTAATTTTTATCATTTTTCTCTAAACTATGTTGATATTCTTTTCCCAAGTGCAGAAAATTTTTCCCCCTTTTATTGTGACGGTATGTGATAGTTTGTCAGATCTGAAAATCTTCCTTTTTCCCCCTTAAATCACCTCTTGTGAAAATATATTTGCTAGAATTTGTTTGATCATTTTTCTAGGAAAGTTGTTTGATCATATTTGAAAATAAAATATTAGTGAATTTGAAGAATAAGAGAAATTTTAGATGTTTAATAACTAGAGATCTTAAAATATTGGGTCGCAATTTTCAATTTACCTACAGCTACTTTAATTTATAATTGAAGTGATTGTCATAAGCTAGTTTGATGTTGCTAAAATTAATGCAATTTGTAGAGATAGTAATTTCTCCATAGTTAGAGATGAATAACAGTTGTATCAATCACGACGAAGAGCTATGATTGTGTTATCTATAGGATATTAATTTTGATCCCTGATCTTTTAAGTACTGTTTTATTTGATGAGCTTAGCAATTCCTTTATCACTGTACATTGAGCTACGTGCATATAGATTGTGTGCTATGAATGGCCTTTTACTTTTTAAAAAAAAATAAACTTCAGAAATTGGTCAGGGACTACTTCATTTCGGTGTAGAAAAGAGTTGTAGCCGAAGTAACTTTAGCTCTCTTAAGGTTTTGAGAATTTTCTTTCTTAGCGTTACAAGTTGGTTTTTGCCAATCTTCTTTCCTAGGGTTTAGAGTTACAGTAATTTTAGACTTGGAAAGACTTTTCATTTAAACAGGACATGCTAGGAATACTGCTTATGTAAAACAATCATCTAATCTTAGCTGGTCCGAGTAGTCAACAATCACCGGTCTCTTCCCAACAGATAGGGGATATGCATCACTTCCCATATAGGGCTTCGTAAGGTGTCATGCCAATGCTAGAATGAAAGCTATTGTTGTAGGCGAACTTTACTAGCGGCAAGTGCACAGCCTAATTGCCTCCGAAATCTAAGGTGCAAGCTCTCAGCTTCTCCTCTAGGGTCTGTATCGTTCTCTCAGATTGTCCATCAGTCTGAGGATATGTTGAAGTGCTGAACTTCAGTCCAGTCCCTAAAGCTCGATGTAGGCTCTTCTAAAATCTTGAGGTGAAACGAGGGTCTCGATCTGATACAATGGATATGGGAATTCCGTGGAGCTTCACGATCTCTTCGATGTATAAGCTGGTCAACTTTTCCATGGTATATGACATCTTGTAGGATATGAAGTGTGCTGACTTGGTCAGCGGTCAACTACCAGCTATATGACATCCTCTCCTTTTGCTGAGCGGGGTAGTCCAGTAACAAAATCCATATTGATGTTATCCCATTTCCATTCAGGGATAGTCAAACATTGTAATAGTTCTGATGGTTTTTGATGTTCAATCCTCACATGTTGGCATGTTAAACACTTTGACACAAATTCAACTATCTCCTCCTTCATGCGGTTCCACCAGAAGCTTTGTCGAAGGTTCTTCTGATACATCTTACTATACACCATGCATTGATGCAAAATTTTTATATTCTGAAATTAGACTCATAATAGTCATTTGGAACTAGTTTCATGCATTTTGGACATCAATTGTTATACCATTCATTTACCTAAATCTACTGCATGTACACTACTTGTGCTGCTGTGCATATTAGAGATATTGGATGTAATCATCTAGAGTGTAAGTTATACAATGATATAAGTTTTAAGTTAGAATATTAAAAAAGATAGTGTTTAGAACCTCATGTGGGTATACATGTATATAGGATAGAATCTTGGATTCATTCGTTGGCTGAGAGGATCCCGACATAATTGGTAGGTAACATTTCATTCTCATCTCAAATCTTTGAGAGTTAGATTGATTACTTCTTAAAATTTCTGCGAGTTAGTTTCCCATGCCAAGTTGTATATCTTATCATTTTCGTAATATTCCTATTTGATTCACTTCATGCGTAGGCTCTTTGTTGATTGCTTAACCATTGCTATCCTAATGTTGTTTATTTCAGTTTTATACCTTTGATTCCTTGAATGATTATATTGCAACAATTTGACTTGCTTCAATGATTCGACTATTGATAATGATAGTATTCTTTTCTATGTTGATGATTAATAGTCTATATTCATGGATTATGTCCTGTGTGAAGTAAGCTTCACCGGTGGGTAGTAATAGTAATGGGTCCCGGTAGGGACAATGTCTTGTGTGAGGACGCTCACCGATAGGTGTATAAAGGCATGCACGGTTTATTGATTATCCCATGTTTGGGGAGTTTGGAATCATGAATATTAGACCTTGATTATTCATATTGACATGTTATTTCATTTCGATCAATGATCATGATAAAAGTATGGTAGCTTATTGTTGAGATCCATTCGTTCAAGTTCGAATATCTATGACTATCATTTTCATTCATCCTTTTATGTTGTATCCGAGATGTTTATAGTTACCTATTGGGCTTTAGGCTTACCCCTATTGTTTTTATATCCATTCGCAGGTCATACAATCAGCAAGGATAAGGGGATTACAGACCTTTGAAACTTCTTAGCCTTATCCGAT